CCCGATTTCACTATAAAGTCCATTTTAAAGTTACACAGTGTGTTCATTAATTTATTAAGCCCCCCCCATGAACCAGCAACTGTTTTAGGCATATAGAATAACATATCAGTGAATAAAACATGTAAACAATGTAATTAATAATTTATAAGAAGTGAAAACATGTTCACACAACAGCCAGTACACAAACATTTTTAGCAGCTTTATTCGTAAGTTACAGAACTGGAAACAATTCAGATTTCCTTCAATGGGTAAGTGGATAAACTAGTAGAAGTACAGAATAAAATATGACTCAGAAATTGTTATGGCCTGTATCTAGATGTCCCCCCAAAGCCTCGTGTGCTCTTGGGTAGGGCTTTTTGCAGATGGCTATGATATTGGGATTAAGGGTATTGGTACTAATTAGTCTATTGGTTGGAATTAGCACAGTTCTGGGTGTAGATAATGGGAAGGCCTACCCTGGGTGTGGGTGGCATCACCGAAAAGGTCTGTAGCCTGGATATAATAAAAGGGAAAGGGAGGCCTGCTTCATTGCTCGCGTTGCTTGCTGGTACTGCCTTCTGCCTACCCTGCCACACACTGTCTCTCCTCTGCCATGCTGCCCTACCTTAGAGCCAGGTAACTATGGACTGAAACTTCTACAAACTGTGAGGTAAGATAAACCTTTCCTCCTTTAACTTTAGGAGTCAGGTATTTTGTATCAGCAATGAGAAAAGAAACATAAGACAACAATGAAAAGGAATGAACTCTTGATAAAATTCATCTGCTTAGATGAATCTCAATTATGCTGAGTCAGAGAAGCCAACAGCAAAAGAATATAACATAATTCCATTACTGAAAAGACAAAACTACAGGCTGACAAAAGATCAGTGGTAGTTGGGCATGGTAGTACACACTTGTAATCCGGCACTCTATGAGGCTGAGGCAGGAAGATCACAAGTTCAAGCCTAGCAAGACCTTGTCTTAAAATAAAGAAAGGGCTTAGATGTAGCTCAGTGTGAAGGTCTTAGCTTCGGTCACCCCTACCACAAAAAAGAAAGAACATACAATCAATCAGCGGTTTCCAGGGATTGGGAGGGATTATTATTAAGGGACAGTGTGACAGTTTGGGGTGTGTTAGAAGAGTTTAAGTGCTATGGAAAAATGTGTGAACAGACTTGAAGGAGGCAGGAGAGTTGGTCATGTGGATATGTAGAGAAGCACTGCAGCCACAAAGAGTTTTAAAGAGGTAAGAAATTCAGTGTCACTGGAGTAAGGTAAGTGAGGGGTAGGACTAGAAAACATGGTTATAAAAGTAAAGGAACTGGGAAGCAGATCATGAAGGTCTGATCTTTTAAGTCATTGTAAGGACTTTGGCTTTTATTTTGAAATAAGAAGCCATTGGCAAATGTTCAACAGAAGAATGTTGAAAACAATGAAAGAGGGCAAGTGCAGAAGCTGAAACCAACTGGGAAGTTATCAGATATGAGAAAGGATGTGATCTGGACAAGGGTGAAGGAATGGAGGCAGGAAGAAGTGATCATATTTCATGTATCTACTGCAGGTAGATCTACTCAGATGTCCCAAAAGATTAGATAAGGAAGAGTGACAAAAAAAGAGTCCAGGATGATTTCAAGATTTTTGTCCTGAACGACAGGAAGGATAGAGTTGCCACTGACAGGTTTAGGAGGAAAAATCAAGCAGCTGAGGCACATATTAGACAAGCAAGTCTAGCAGATAGTTAAGACACATACAGGAAACAGGTTTGAGCTGGAGACACAACTTTGGGAGGTACAAGCATATGGTGATATTTAAGGTGGGATCAAATCACTGCCTCAGTCAGGATTCCCAAAGGACATGGATAGGACAAGATTTTAAAAAGTGACAATTTATATAGTTAGGAGCAGGGTACAGGAAAACCACAAGAGAAAGCAGTATGGTACTCCAGGACTATTAACACAGTGGCTGTTTCTATACCCCCGGCTGGAAGGGACAGAGAGAGAGGAAATTGCTACCCAAAACAGAAGAGGACCTTGAAGAGACTGATGAGAGAAGAAGTGACCTACAGTCAGACAGTTCAAACAAACTGAGATGACTTTTTGGATTAGGAGCAAAGAGAATAAATGCTCTCATCTCACTCTTCTCCTTTGCCTCTACTGGCCCAACCCGACAAAACTGAAGGCCAAGAAAGCCTGCTGATAGGGTCCATAAAGGGCAGCCTCCTAGAACAGAGGCAGGTAGGAAAGCAGGGGTGGGGCTAGAGGGGTAAATGAAGACACCAGACCAATCACCAAGGTAGTGAGCACAGAGAAGGAAGAGGACATTCCACTACTGGAGGGTTAGGGAGAAGAGAAGGAACATCAAAGCTGGGTGTGGTGGCACACGCTTGTTATTCCAGCACTTGGGAGGCTGAGGCAGGAGGATCGCTGTGAGTTCGAGACCAGCCTGGGCTACATAGGGAGTTCCAGGTCAGTCTCACTACATAGTGAGACCCTGTCTCAAAAAACAAAAAACAAAAACAACAAAAAAAAAAGAAGGAACATCAAAGCTGGGTGTGGTGGCACACGCTTGTTATTCCAGCACTTGGGAGGCTGAGGCAGGAGGATCGCTGTGAGTTCGAGACCAGCCTGGGCTACATAGGGAGTTCCAGGTCAGTCTCACTACATAGTGAGACCCTGTCTCAAAAAACAAAAAACAAAAACAACAAAAAAAAAAAGAAGGAACATCAAAATAGAGAGACATTAAGATCCACGGGAGACAGGGGCTGGGGATTTAGATGCGTGGTTTCACCGCCTGCCTTGCAAGCTCAAGGACCGAAGTTCGATCCCCGTACCAAAAAAAACAAAAAAGACCAATGGGAGACAAATACGCCATAGAAATCAACTAGGTCATACTTAGTGATTCTACTTTCTTCAATGCTTCATAGCTTCTAAATAAAACTTCTAAAGAGTAACCAGTGTTTTCTTCCGAACCCAAAGACTCGTTTTTCACCCTTACCAAAATCATATGAGTATCTCTGACAAAGCACTGTGATTCCTCTTTTCTGGCCGCTTAATTTTTAGTGGTTTTTTTTTCCCCTCCTCCTTCTCTTACAATGTAGGTGCTACCCAAGGCTCTAACCTTGGTTTTTTTTTTTTAACCTTGGTATTTCTTACTTTATCCTCTTGTCCCTGGCCAGAACCGTTATTTTTTGTTGACCCCAATTCCTTCTGAATATTGTCCTGATCCTTTCAACTTACCCAAATGTGAGTTAATCTTCATCTTCTGGAATCTCCTCATCCTGTGTTATCTGTTTTAGTTATTAGGATGAGCATCTTTCTAGCTATACAGGAGCTAAACAAGAAGTACAGTAACTCTGGTGAAAAGTGTAATAATCTGTATTTTATTAAAACTTGCCTGGGTGGTTGATTCTCATGTTTATGTAAGGTTTGGGAATGGCTTCTTAAACTTCTGCAAGTCAGTCTCTCTCTCCTTAGCAACATACCTAATCAGGTATCAGTCCATCCCTCCGTACCCTGAAACTGATCTTTAACCTGACTCACTCTCCTCAATTCCCACTGCCAATGTGCTTTTTGGTCACCAACACCATTATAATGGCTTCCTTTGGGGGGGGTAATTATTCTAAAATATACACAATAGAAAAGTTACCATTTTATTTTATTTATTTATTTTTTTGAGACAGGGTCTCACTATGTAGTTGACACTGACCTGGAACTATGTAGCCCAGGCTGGTCTTGAACTCACAGTGATCCTCCTGCCTCAGCATCCCAAGTGCTGGGATTACAGGCATGCGCCACCACGCCCAGCTCTTTTTTTAAATGTACAGTTCAGTGGCATTGAGTACATTCACACTGTTGTGCAACCATCACCACAACCCATTTCCACAACCACCTGAAACTGAAATAAACAGTTACACCATGTCCCCTCCTCTCCAGTCCCTGGCAGCCACCGTGTTACTTCCTTTCTCAAAGAATTTGGCTATTTTAAGTACCTCCCACAGGTGGAGTCATACAATATTTATTCCTTTGTGTCAGTGTGGCCTCTTCACTGATCTGCTTGCCCAGACTCCTTCCTCTCTTAATCTTATTTCTTTATATAAGGTTTCAGGTTGACCCAAACCCCAACTCATACTGGGCCACCCCTTGTTTCAAAGAGCCATCATGGTTTCCTGATTGTCTTTGATGTAATTTTAAAAACTTTATTTATTTTTGTGGTCCTGCAGATTGGACCTACAGCTTTTCACTGAGCTACATTCCCAAGCTATTATTTTATTTTAGGTTTTATCTTTTTTATTTGTTTGTTTTGGGACAGGCCTCAAACTCGAGGTGATCCTATTTCAGCCTCCCAGGTATTAGAATTACAGTGGTGAACCACCACAGCTCGCCCCAGCCCTTAAAAAAAATTTTTTTTAAGTTTTGGGACAGGGTCTCACTAAGTCCCTAAATTGCCCAGACTCCACTTGAATTTGCTGTCCTCTTGCCTCGGCCTCCCAGAGTGCTGGGATTATAGGTATGTGCTACCACACCTGGCAGTCTGTGATGTAATTTCATCTTTTCAACCAATTCCTCTCTCTCTGTCCTCTCCTCCTCCCTATATACTTTTTTTTTGGGGGGGTACTGGGGATCAAGCTTGGGACACCTTGCGCTTGAGAGGCAGGTGGCGGCACCACTGAAATAAATCCCCAACCCTATGTATTTCAATATAAATGCTTGCACAAGAAAACTCCCAAAGAATTTTAAGCATAAGCATAGGCTACCATAACCCAGTGAACTACTTGCTGAAATATATATTCTAACTTTTCCTATCTGTATCTTTACTCATACTCATCTCCTTACTTCGTTTCCACACGTCCAAATCTTACCCCTCTTCCGGAACACATCTCAAATTCTATTTTTTTGTCTTAATCCCAATGCAGAAGTTTACTAAGATTTAATAGGGATAAACTGATAATTTTATATAACCAGTGGGACTGTATCCACACAACTGTAAGTTGTAGAAGTGGTAGCTAGTGGGTTCAAACTCACCACAATTCCAGGATATTTGAAGAAACTTAGTACAGCAGCTGATGTGCCCCTGATATTGGTCAGACAGAAATTTCCTCATTATAGGCCTGAAAGCAGAGAAGAAAATTCCTGGTACTATGTCATTAACCCTAAGGAAATAGCAGTTTGAAGCTATCATATCGGTCCCAGGGTTTTTTGTTTTCTTTTTTTTTCCTACCCGCTTTCTTTCCTTTCATTTCTTTTTTCCCCTAGGTGCTATTTCTAGGACTATCAAGATATCCTTGCCAGGGATTTAGCTCAGTGGTTCTGCCACCTGCTTTGCAAGCGCAAGGAACTGAGTTCGATCCCTGGTACCAAAAAAAAAAAAGATATCCTCAAGAGCATTTATTGTTATTAAAGTCTCTAAAAAAACTATACCTTTCTCTATGTAGTGGCTACTGAAAAGCCCAGTGTTCTAAGAGTCACAATCACTAATGCTTGGGTGACACTCAATGGCACTTCTATTACATGGGTTTACAATACATGGGTTTTGATATACCGTACTATTTAAAATTCACTGCTTTGAATAGTTCTAGATCTATGAAGTGAATAGAGAAAACACCCATTCTACGTCTTAAAGTTGAAACTGGCTAAAGTGTTCCAAACCACTCATTAAAACTAAGCTGTATCACACACAACCTCCTCTGCATCTCCATTCTCTGATCTCATTATTTTTCTTCTCTTATCAGCAGTTTGAATGTGGCAATTAATACGCTCAGTTGGCCTCATCTTTTCCTCTCAGATAATTACACTACAAATATTCAGAAAGAAATAAATACAAAAATTCCTAATTCCAACATATTCCTTTCCAGACCTTTTAGCCTTTATACTTAACATGTAAACTATTCATAATCATTCAAAAGTAACTATATAGCATCCTACTGTGTTTACCATAATGTATTTAGTCATTACCTAATTATAGGGTACTTAGTTTAAATAATGCTATAATAAACATATTTTTCAGGGGAAAAATTACTGGGCCAAAGAAATATTTAAGACTCATGATAAATATTGCCAAATTGCTCCTCAAAAGGTTTGTGTCATTTTACACCCCCACCAGCATGTTCTCGTTAGTACATGTGCCAAAATGAAGTAATCTCTATAAAATGTTTGCTATCTTAATAGGTGAAAAACTGTATAAATGCCCACCCTAACTTGATCTCCTATCTCAATGAATGCATTATTTTAAAATGAAATTATTTTAATTTCCTTAAAAGCAGGAAATCTAGGACTCTTTATATCTTTTTTTGTCTTAAGAGCTGGAGTATGATTTGTGATGTTAGAACAGTAGAGAGACAAGGGATAGTCACCAGAACTTTAACACAAATTTGATCATATTTCCTTAAATGCCAGAATTTCCAAAGGCCTACTTAATTTCTTTCTTTCTTTCTTTTTTTTTTTTTTTTTTTGGTTTTTTGAGACAGGGTCTCACTATGTAGTTGAGTCTGACCTGGAACTCCAATGTAGCCCAGGCTGGTCTCAAACTCACAGCGATCTTCCTGCCTCAGCCTCCCAAGTGCTGGGATTACAGGGGTATGCCACCACGCCCGGCTTACTTAATTTCTTTTTTACTGCCTTATCATCAACGCTGTGGAGTTAGCTCTTTTCTTCCTGCTAGGCATTGAGGAGGGACAGTCCTCAATAGAAGCCATGCATGTCCTCAGAAGCAGCATGTGTGCTTAGAAGATGTGACTTCAGCATTTTCTGTCTTAAAAAGTAACTGGGGTTTATGTTGGTTCTGGGATTTTCAATTCAGGTTTATTACCCATTTTTCGTTTTCCATTTCAACCAAATCCTGTCCAAGTCAATAAAAATAGGAGAAATATCATTTTTTGAAGATCTCAAATTACTATTGGCATAACAAGGAGAATTTAAGCCTCCAAGCTATAGTGGAATAAGTCCAAATAAACCAGAAGTAAGTTAGTTCTGAAATTTGTTCCCAGCAATTAAAATTTCAGAATTTAAAAATTATGGCCTTTTCTAATTAATTTATGGAAACTGGCAATAAAACAGATACTTTTTAGGTCTCAATCAAGTTCTAAAATGGGTATCTACTACTTTGATACTAAAGTATTTGATTTCACAGTTTTATATAGAAACAGAAAAACAAGTTTAACTGAAATAATTTGGGTCTTTGGATTCTTTACTGTATAATTTCTTCTTGCAGACTTCTGGAACTACCAATCTAATATGACCAAACAGTTGTGGGTTATTTACAAAGTAAATATTTCTTAAATAAATTTAAATTTTTTTCTTTGAAATGGCTCCTCAATTGCAACAGAATATGCAAGCTTTCCAACATTTTATTTTTAAAAATGTCTTAAAATATTTTAGGTCTAACATAAATAAATAAACAAACAAACATTTTGGGTTGGTATATTAGTTATTTTTGTAATAAAGACAGTTATTAGCAAATTTGACTGCAGAAACTGCCATACAGTAAGTATGTTTGGCTAAAATCCTTTATATAATTAATTTAAAAAATGGCGACACTGCATCTGAATAATCAAGATGCATATTTTTCTTTTCCTTTTAGGATTAAGACATACTACTTTCTATATCATATCTGTTTTTAAGTCAATTCTCCTTCTACTACTTTCTTTTGTAAGAGGTTTTGCTTTGTGTGAAGTAATGTTCCAATCTGTTTCATAACCTTCTACTCTGATGAATTCCTGGAAATGGTATTAAGATATCTCCAAGAAGATAGCAAATTAAATTCTCTGTCTCTTCTTTCACTAAAAGACCAATTTTGACAGCACACAGCCTTCCTCTTATATTGCACTCTTCTAATACTTTATACATCTGTATCCTGGCAGTTGCTATATATCACAGTTTCTGTTTTATCCATCTGTTTCACTTGATCAATGGTACTTTGAAGAGGAATTCGGACTCAAGATACTGTTAGGCATGGGGATCACGCTTGTAATTCCAGCACTCTGGGAATCTGAGGCAGGAGAATCTCAAGTTTGAGCTCAGCCTGAGCAACATAGCCAGATTTTGTCTCAAAAATAAAAAATTAAAAAACAAAGTTGGGGATGAAGCGCAATGTGAAGGCCATGGTTCAATTTCCCATACTAAAAACAAAACACCAAAACAAATCTAAAGATACTATAAAAGTCGATGGGCCAGGGATGTAGCTCAGCAGTGCCACATCTGCCTGGCAAGGGCAAGGCCCTGAGTTTGATCCCTAGTACCAAAACAACAACAACAAATTGATAAAAGTCAACAATAGTTACAATGCTCCTATGTTTGTTTATAGTTTATAGTCCTTTTTTCCTAGTCACCTGTCAGAACTGTGTGGCAGTTTCCATCTATTTAAGGCCCCAATACATTCTCATAGTCCAATACAATGTTTCTATAATCCTAGCTCAGTAGTGGCAAAGTTGCCTAACCAGGCTGTTTGTATCACTGAAAGTTCTAAAAGGTTTACCATCACTGTCCTAACCTCCCAGAACAAGGTGTACTCTATTCTCCCTGACATCACTGTAACAACATGCACACTTAATTGTAAGCAAACACATATCTGGCAGTGCAATGAAAAAGGGTTCAAGGCAGGGATCACTAACACACAGGATGATGCACAGTAAATGCTGGTTTGATGAATTATGAGTCTGTCATATATAAATATATACAGTATATTTATAAAATCTGAGTCTTAAATTCCCTATCCTGGCAAAATTGAGACACATTTATGGCATGAGCAACATAACCCAGTTAAAACTTGTTAATTACTTTAGATTCGGATTTTTTTACAAATATTTGGATACAGGATCCTTGTTCAACAACATGATGCGCTCATGACTATGTGAGATATGGTCACTCTCTCCTACACTGAAGGTGAACACACAAACCTATAGAAGATCTTTGTGAAGCTAGGCTCAACAATGCTCAGCTACACTTGCTATTAATATAAATCTACTATTAAAGAAAAATTCTCAGTAAATTATTATCAGCTTCAACACACGGGTGATAGATAAACAGTTTGTTCCTGCAATGACGTAAAAATGTAAACTTATTGTGTCAATAATTAATTAGAAGATTCTTTTATAAAGTTCTTACCTCATAAACTCAATGTGTAGGCTCTTATGTATTCTTAGCATATAACAGGAAGCAGTTTTTATTGTTAAAAAAATTTCCCCTCTTTAACAATAAAGACCTATCCCAATATTGAAAATGTTTGATATACAGATTTTTGTCTTCATGTTTGTTCAGCTGAAAAGAATGAACCCCCCTCAGTAGATCAGTTAACGAGGTAGGAATTACAAAGCAAAACATAATGAATGGTATAAAAGCATAAATTATATACCGCACATAACAGAATTTAATAGCAAACAAAATAAATGAAAAACACTTATAAGACATTTATTAATAAAACGTTTTTCCAACTAACAAAAAAATTTTAGCAGTGGAAGTACAAGGAAATCCTCATCCATATTTTTGCTGCTCCATAGAGGTGTCCTGGACTAGCTGGATAAACCGGATGGTTTGTTTTAGATCAGCACTCTGAGTGATAAACTACAGACGGAAACACAGTATTAACCCAGCACAATAGCTGTGTTCAAAGGGTCAGCAACCACTCCATCCTGAACATCTAGTCAGCGTCACCCCCGGGAAATAAGAATGCCATCAAAGTTTCCATATCTTTAAACACTTTGTAATAATTTTAAAAATGTACCAAAGAACTGTAATTGCCAGGCTTTAATTGTTATTAGGGGAGATTTTCTGACCAAAGGCAGAATTAGATGAGTTCAGAAAGATCAAAGATGAAGATGTATTCACATTTTCATATTCCCTCCCTCCCTCTCCCTCCCTCCTTCTCCCTCTCTCTCTCCCTCACTCTCTCTGCTTTCTATTTTGGTTTTATGAGATAAGGTCTCCCTTATAGTTCAGGCTGGCCTTGAACTCACTATGTAGCCCAGGGTGACTTCAAGCTCAAGGTGATCCTCCTACCTCAGTATCCTGAGTGCTGGGATTACACCACTCCTGGCTCCCTCTTCATTCTCATATAACACATGACTGAGAAAATCAGCTGTAGTAAACTGAGAACTCAAGAGTTAATGGAAATCAAGTATTTAATGTTAAAT